AATATTTAAGATAATTCACAATTTCCACACATTACCTAATTTTAAAATATTATAAAATAAAAAAATCATCTAATACCTTAGTTAAACCAAAAATGAAAAATGAAAAAATTAAATATTTATCAGATCTTCTGACTTGGCAGTGACGTGGCGCGTTGACCGTTAGTCAATGCGTTTGACCGTCCAAGTTAACGGTCAAACATCGGGTTTGGCCAAATTGTTTATTTTGGTGTATAGTTCGGGCCAGGATGTTATAGATCGAAAAGATTGGTCAGGATGTTTATTTTGGTCAAAGTTCAGGCCATACGAAAATATTAACCCTAGTTTTTACCCCGCTGACGTTCGTTCTCTCAGAAAAAAATTTCCTTCTTCCACGCAATCGACGGTTGACACTCAGTCTCCGACCACTACTCCGGACACGTGTCATCCATCTACGCCCGCTCTTACGTGCAACGTGCTGTGACGCTATCATACGGGAAACACTCGATAGAAAATGGCAAAAACAAACTTCGGTCGGGAATTTGAAATTTGTTCCCCTCTGCCAAAAGAGACGTTATGTGTCCCTTTATTTGAACTCAGAAGAAAAACAAGAAACAAAGAAGAGACTAGTAGTATTATAAGTATTCATGGAGTTTTTCTTTTCTCTATTGGTCTCCATTAAATGCAGTTGAATTGAACTATTGCAGCAGTTGGCAAAGAAAGAACGACAAGACCTTTCTTCTTCTCACTTCTCACTTCTTCTTACAGTCCCTGTCGCTCTCTCCGATCTCTGATAAAATCTCTGTGCACCGTAATCTTTAATTGCACCTGTTCAAGAGCCAGAGCGAGAAAGACCAGAGCTTTTTTCTCCTTCATATTGATTCAACTCTGCATTTGACGAAAAGAAACAGAGTTGTTCTTCAAGAAGAGGCAGCGCAGTGCGGCTTTCTTTCTTGGCTCGGTTACCAGGCTGATTCCTCGCATTGCTATTGTGAGTCTTTTGTCCCTGCTGAGAAAAGGGTTTTTACCTTCTGGGATTTCCCTTTTCTTCCTTCTCCAATGTTTCCGTTGAATTGCGGCAATGTGGGTCTTTTCTTTCGGTTTCTAGTCGTGATTCGTTGATCTTGGTTCATGGGGGAAATGTAGTTTCGGCTTGTGTGGATTTCTGGGTTCTGTTCTGCTCGTAAGAAAGTGATAGTCTTTCCAGCTGATGATGCTAATAATGCTGATTTGATATCGGCTGTCTCTTTTTTTTTTTTTTTTTGCTCGCCTAATGTTTGATGGAATGCACAGGTTAGCTATGCTAGCAATTGAGCTCATTTCCCATCTTAGGTTTCTAGAAAGTTGAGCTCTTTCCAGATTACATACGGAGCTGTAGTTTGTAGAGAATTGATTTTAATGTTTGACTCTCTCATTGATTAGTAGATACCCATCAGCTAGGGTTTTAATTTTAATGATAAAACAATCTGCTGTTATAGGATTCTGCTGATGAACGAAGTCAGCCATCTGTTTGCTTGACAAGGGCTTGATACTTGGTCCAAGGAGATGAAGATGGAGAGGGAAGGTGGAAAGACTGGAGGAGGCTATACGGGTGGTTTCTTTCAGCTGTTTGACTGGTCTGCAAAATCAAGGAAGAAATTGTTCTCAAGCAAATCAGACTTACCAGGTACAAACAAATTACTGGTTTACATTTGCTTTCCAGACTACATTATCAAGGTTTTGCTTAATCTTGTTCCATTTCGTTGTCTCTTCATAGAACGATCAAAGCAAGGAAAGCGAAGTGATGGAAACTTGCCAACAACACGGCTTCGTCTGGTAAGCTATTTCATTTGGGAATCTTGGGTTCTGCTGATATGATCACCACTGTTTATGTATATGATATGATCCCTCTTGTGGTGATTTTACACCAGATGGATGACGACGAACATGGAGGAAGACCATGTAGCATAAGAAGTGGTGGTGACTACAGTTGTGCTTCTTCAGTCACTGATGAAGACGGATATGGAGGAGCTAGGCCAGCTGGAGCAATAGCAAGGCTCATGGGACTCGATTCCATGCCAACGACATCCAGTTTCCTCGAGCCCAAGTGCACCACCGCATTTTCCGATACCCAGTCACTACGTGAATCTTCTTCTCACAGTAGCAGGAAGCAATTCGCTTACTACCATCATGACTACCACAGCATGTACTCGGGCGATCTGCCACATAGGCCTCAAAAGGCGGTAAGCAGACCTATGGAGAAGTTCCAAACCGAAGTCTTGCCTCCCAAGTCTGCTAAATCGATCCCTATTACTCATCATAAGCTCCTCTCACCTATAAAGAGTGCCCATTTTGTACCGAGCCATACTGCTGCTCACATTATGGAAGCCGCTGCTAAGATCATCGAGTCTAGTCCACGAGCTCCTCCTCCCAAGCCAAAGCTCTATTCTTCATCATCGGCACCCTTGAAAGTTCGCAATTTGAAGTCGAGACTTGAAACCCGTGATCATGTGAAGGAGAAAACTGCTGCTCGGAAGCTTAGCGAGTCGAACGCTGCAAAGTGCTTGAAAGGCCAACCTATGAACAAGAGCTGGAATGGATCAACCGTTGATGCAGCAACTACTTTTAGGGTTTCTCAGGAGCTGGAGGAAGGATCTTCTTTGTCTTCTGGTCAAAAGAGCAGGGGAAAATCTGTATCGCTTGCTGTCCAAGCAAAGGTTAATGTACAACAGAGAAGAGAAGGCTTGAACTCGAGAGGTAACCGAGGTGTAGAACAACAACAGCAGCAGAAAGAGCGACAAAGTGGTGATGTGGCAACAAGCCAGCAGCCATTCAGGAGTCAACAACCAAATTTCCAGAAGAATTCATCTCAGAGGTCTGCTTCTTCGTCACCAGTGCTTAGACAGAATAACCAGAAACAGAATTGCTCAATGGAGAAAGATAAATCATCCCCAAAGCCCTCCATTTCAAGTGTCCAGAGTCGAAAAGTAAACTCAGTGAATCCTTACGAGCGACCCAAAGCTTCAGGAAAATCTTCTGCCGGTTATAGGTATGGGTCCAGGAAATCAGGCACAGATGAGGGTCGTTCATCAAACTACACTATAAAGAACACTCCCCCAAGGAAGAAACGGTTAATAGATAACATGTCGATTGACAGAAGCCCAACGGAGGAAGCTGAGAACTTTACTTGGGCGGCAGAAGAGAGCAAGAGGAAAGGAAGTGATGTAGTGTCATTCACATTCACAACTCCTCTTGCAAGATCTTCATCAATGCCTGAAACGCCGAATCGTAGCAAGAGATTGTTGGTCGATGCAGAAGCCATAAATTTGTCTTCAGGAGGAGATGCTCTGACTTCGCTATTGGAGCAGAAGTTGAGGGAACTAACTGATGCTGTCGAGTCCTCTAGACGCAATACCATTAGCAAAGTTGGATCAGCTGATGTTAAGGAACAGCAGAAGCAGCAGCAACTACTATGTCGAGAGAAAGTGGTTGGGGGCTATGGGGCTAATTCGTTTTCACCTGATCCTGTGGCATATAGATTCAAACCTATATTTCAGGTACCTATATTCTCTCTCTCTCTCTCTCTCTCTTTTCCATTAGGAGTGTTCATATCCTTTGTTTTTGTGGAGTTATATGTGTGACTTGCAAATTTAGCAGGGGGGAGTCGATGCAATGGAGGAATGCAGCAGCAGTAGCAGCAAATATTACGATGCTGAAAAGCTGCTAGATTGCAGGCGGCCAAGCCCGATCTCGGTTCTTGATCATTCTTTCTCAACTGAAAGCAGCTGCACATTGGAGAGCATGGACAGTAGCAGTACAGAAGGTAAATTTCTGTGGTTATGTTTTCACAGGCTGCAACTTGTTAGTGCAAATTTGTGCAACTTCTAGACAAGTTTTTCTCTGTGACTTTCATAAAAGTTCTCATCTGTTTTCATCTCTGTATGACTTTTCATGTAAACAGGCAAGCAGTGCTCATCCTCTATTCAAGCACAGGAAGTCCTTAGCTTTACTTTCCCAAAGAAACGTCACCAACCATATGCTGATGCAGAGCTACTTGATTCAGCTTCATCTACAAGCTCTAACACATTATCAGACTTCAATAAACAAAGTAACTGGGAGGGTGAATACGTGAAGAAGATGCTTGTCTATCTGGACTTGATGTTCCATGACTTTGCAATTGGTAGGTCCCGTGAGGTCGTGAACCCTCACCTCTTCAGCCAGATAGAGAAAGGCCACAGTGATCAGTCGAAGCTTGAAAAGAAGGCGCTGTTTGACTGTGTGAGTGAATGCCTGGATTGGAGATGCAGGAGATACATCAATGGAGGGTACAAAGCGTGGGAAAAGGGAGTTACAGTGATGAGAAGAAAAGACTGGTTGGCCGAGGAAGTGCAGAAAGAGATTGTGTCGTGTAGAAAGATGGGAGACTGCATGGTGGATGAGCTTGTGAACAAGGACATGGGAAGCCAATATGGGAATTGGCTTGACTATGAAGAAGATGCATTTGGTGTTGTTGGAGAAGGGATTGAAGGGTTAATACTCGATTCATTGGTTGATGAACTGGTTGCCGATATCCAGAAGCACCCTTGATTGATCCGGCGGAGGATTGAAGATGAGGGTTACTCTGTCAATGACGCGTGAAAGTGAGATGGGTTTTCTTCTTTTTCCATTCAGGTATCTGCTGGTTTTTCTGCGCTTGTAAGGAACCATTGATTCTTAAACCATGCCTTAATTGCTTTTCGGCTTCCTATAAATAGGTAAAGGGTTCTTTTATTCTATAAAAGAAAAATGTAGGTAAAGTAGTTTTGTCAGAATTGCAGGCCATTTTGATTCTCTTCAGACCTGGAAAGTACCCTTTTCAGAGGCATTCATTACACACTCAACAGACACTCTTCAAAATCGAAACTTGATTGCATTGACATTTACCTACGGATAAAGGGTTGGCAAATTTTCAGCCATAAAGTATCCTTTTCAGTTTTCAACACCCTAAAAGCTCTTAAAAATCAGGCCTTCATCAAGGGTTGTCAATCAAAATAGTAATCAAACCATTGAAGATTAGGAAAAAGGAGGCAAAATCTGCAGCCATTTCATTCCTTTTGCAGAGAGATCAATTCAACAAACCTAACAGGGCTCTAAAGAATCATGCTCTGTGGCTATAGCATAGAAAAGCTTCAAAGGGTTGTCAAAAACAGCAATCAAATTACGAATAAGAAGAGACCAAAAACTGCAGCAATTTGATTCCGTTCCTCTTTGAAACGTGGAAAAAAGTACCCTTTTTTTTTCCTCCTCAGAGAGATTCATTCAAACACCAACTAATCAGACCTCTATGGTCTCTCACTGTACACATAATTAAACATAAGAACTAGGGTAATCAAACATAGATATAAAAACTCATAAAGATGATCGAGTTAACAAACCAGATAAGCCAATCCAATTCGTTTCCCCATCCACTCCTTCCTTCATCCCTTTCTATTGCAGCTGTTCATTACCATCCAAGAGCCAAGACAAAATGCTGCTGTCTTCTTCATCCCAATGAATGTTCTGAAGCTCGTCCCCTCCAGTAATCTGGTCCCAGTCCAGCCATTCTTCCCCTTCCTTCTCCTCCCCTTGACCATGATGTTCGCAGATACAGTTATTACTGTTACTAGTCGTGCTGCTGCTACTGCTATCAATGCCTCTGTTACTCACACTCTCCACCGCCATCATTGCACCAACTCCACCGTTCTCCAAGCCCCAACTTGCCTGATCCGCTGCTGGTGCAGTCTCTTTCCCCTGTTCTCCATTTCCTTCTCCATCTTCAGTGCGATGATGGAGCTTGCATTTAAGCCGATTCATTTCACTATCCAGCCATTCATACGGTCCCAAAACCCCATCCCCATCTCCTTCTCCCGCAACAATACCCACGTTTTCATCCAATTCCATCATCAATTCTCCACCGTCCAAACCCAAATCCAAGCCGCCATCACCTTCGCTCCCCTGCTCCCCGGCGGAGGTAGTGATCCCGCTCAGGGGATCTGCAGTTTTCTCGTCTTTCTTGGGGACAGGGCTCTCTAATTTTCCCGACGATGATAATGCCTTTTTGCGCTTTCTGCTGCTGCGCGCCGCGGCGGAGACGGATATAGCGCTGCCGCTGACGTTCGGCTGCCCATCGTCGGCGGTAGAAGAGCAGGTGGAGGAGGCGGTGGATGAGGCGGAGGAATCGAAGGAGGAAGAGCGGCGGAAGGTGAAGATCTTGCGGCTCAAATGAGAGTTCCAGTAGTTTTTGATCTCGTTGTCCGTTCTTCCCGGTAATTGGGCCGCTATCACTGACCACCTGGAAAATTAATTGGGCCCCCACAATTAGTATGGAAAATTACGCATAACGGGCCGAAGTTATAGAAACTAGCTGGAATTGGACTGGACCGGACGAGTAAAAATGAATTGTGGGCTTGTTCATTTTTTTTCAAAAATCTCAAAAGGCTGCAAATGTTACCAGGCCATAGGCCACCTAGGATGTGACGTATTGATTAGGGATGACGTGGCTCCTAAACTTTTTTTTTCTTTTGCCAAAGACGTGGCTCCTAATTACACCGACGGAACTTGACTCGTCTATTAATTGAAGGAAAGGAATTGACAACCGACAAATAACCATATGGAAAATAAGGACACATTATTAATTAATTAACAAGGACACATTATTAATTAACAAGGACACATTATTAATTAATTAACAAGGACACATTATTAATTAATCGTTCTAGAACAGCAACAATTAATCAATTAATTAATATATTAACCTAAAATCCTAAAACAAATCATATAATTAATCAAATGTCACAGCTAGTTTTGTCATGTACAATGTCACCTCAGTCAAAAAAGCTAGTTGTTTTTTTCCTTCTTCTTTTACATAGGAGATTTGCTCACTCATGTTACACATTTTTTATTTTCTATTCACCGTGAAGAATAATATTACAAAGATTCGTTTTCATCTCTTTCGAGTTTGGTAAACTCACTGCGTCGTTGAATATCGAAATGTAGTAATTTGAATTTTCAGTAACCATTTTTATATAATATTATCGTTCATTTATGTACACAAAATACGATGAATTTGTACAAGTTTTAAAATTAACTTATTATTTAAGAACGATATACCATTAATTTTTCAAGTCTAAATCAATAACACGAGTTAAGAGAGCCAGCAACCAAAGAATTGGACTTGATATTTAATTAGAACTCAAGCATAATGAATTATTTAATTCCCATAAATTATGAAGATATTTTTGTTTGTTTGTTGGCATGGTACAACTAAAAATATCATATCTTCCAGTGTGCCCATAAAAATAATAAATTGCCTAGGTTCTACAAAAAATGTAGGATCCATTTAATTAAGCCTTCAGTCTAATCCAACACATTTAACAACAAAATTCCCCCCCCCCCCCCCCCCTCCCTCCATCCATTATTAAACAAGGATGGATTGCAAATCCGACCTCCCTAAACAACCGCGCGTCAAATATATGTATTACGCAAACAACCGTTAGTACATAGACTTGAATACATAGGGCGTAAGTTGTACGCACGTAACGATCCCTAAACTGAAAAGAAAAACAGAGTACAGTAGAAATAAAGTTCAGTCTCATGGGTTTTTTCACAGGTTATAACGTGACACGAAGGGGACAGCCCAAAATAAATAGAATAACCACCAAAGTTTGTGTGTTCACTTAGTGAGGTGTGGGGGAAGAAAAGGGATAGGCAAAGGGGCAAGCCGGCGGTTTAGGCCGTGCTTTCATAAATTTCTAGGGTTGCTAGTTTGGGCTACTCTCGTGCATTGATTGTCCCTTAAGATGGTATGGCTTAATTTCAGCTATGCAATTCCATTTGTACGAATGAACACAAAAATGGACTTCTGAGGGTTGCTAAGATGTTGAATTGAGTAAACAAACGAAACTTGGGTTTGTGTACTTTCCGTAGTGTTGGTGACAAATCAAAATAAAAGCCTAGATTAAAATGCGTACAACTTTCGAAGGGAAAGGAGAAATGACGTGAAGTTCGGTGTGTTCTAATTTGGCTGATATATTGATAGCGCGGTAGCTGTCGTCTGTCGACATGGGTTGACAGCAACACGGGATCTTACAAAATAAATTTTGGCAAGTGATGTCCTATACAAACGTCTGATACTAATGAGTCTATCCCTGTTATCACGTGCAAAATCCAACAAGTTAATCACCGATAGCCGATCAGAATTCCGATATTAATGAAATCAAAGCAAAACATGAACGTATCAATCAAGATGGTGACTCAGAATTCTAATGACGAGAAAATTATGACCCGTGACGCATGAAACAGAGAGTGATGATTCAAAATGATGGCAAAAAAAAAAAGGTAAGGCAGCTGTCAATACGAGTTGACAGCAACACAGGATCTTACAATATTTTCTAACACACAGAGGATTCTAAACTGCTAACGAGGATATCCCCGTCAGCACGTGTGAAATCCAACAAAGTTGAATTACCGATATGATCTTGCTATTAATGAAATCATACAAAAAAAAAACGAACGTATCAGTCGGATAGCGACTCGAATTCTAATGAAGAGAAAAAATTATGACCGACGAAACGTCGTCGTAAGTAACCATAAACCAGATGAGAGTGATGATTAATCAGAAATGATGAAAAAGATTGTAATCAATAGCCCAGATTATGGACACCGATTGAGATCGGTCTGACACTTAACTTCTAGTTTTGGGCTCCATAGATATTAAACCTTTTGGGACCAACATCGTCAAACCAGTAAGAAGGGCAAGTAATGACAAAAGGGAATTGAAATATTGAATAATACCTATTGCCAAGAGACTTGTGGAGCTTAACGATGGTTTCTTCTTCCTCCTTGCTGATGTTGCCTCTCTTCAGGTCTGCCCTCAGGTAATTGATCCACCTCAGCCTGCAACTCTTCCCACACCTCAACAGCCCTTCCCACAGAGAACAACGAAGATGGTACAAGTTCATACAACATTGCGATCAAAGGAAACAGAGTCGAGAGAAAACAGAGCAAAAAAAAAAAAAAAGGGTTTTGTGGGTTTACCGGCGTTTTTGGGGAGGGAGCGCCATTTGCCCTCGCCATTCTGCTGAATGTAGGAGGTCAAGATCTGGTCTTCTTCGGCCGTCCATCTCCCTTTCTTCAGCCCAACTTTCTCGCAGCAGGGCGCTCTCCCCATCACAGCAGCAGCAGCAGCAGCCTATGAGGAAGACGAGAAACGGAAAAAAAAGGCAGAGAGGAGGAAAAGCAGAGTAGTAAAAAGTAAGCAGAGAAGTGACAGTAGAAGAGTACTATATACGAGCTGGGGGTGTGAGAGGAGAGAAAGAGAGGGAGGGATGGTGGCGATTTCGACACGTAGTGGGAGTAGGGAGTGCCACGTCTGCTGATGAAATTTTTAGGAGTTAACTCATACTAAAGCTGAAATGTGACTAAATGTAAATTGGTGTATTACTGTATAGCAAATGTGGCTAAATCAAGTTGGCTACTTACCAAGTTTAGTAGATTCTTGTGGCAACCCAGAATTGGAGAGCAATTTTGCACAACAAAGAGAACATTTATGGTTTCAGTTTCATCATCCTGGGGTTTGTTTTTTGGGTTTACATATATGTAAGTTTTTGTTGGTTATGTAAATCTCTAAGCTGGAGGGGATCTAGGGAGATTTTTTTGCTTTTATGTTCTTTCTAATTCGGAGTAGTATAACGGGTAACCATATGAATGATGGATTATAATATTCTATTGATGGAAAGTCGGTAATGATTTACTTTATATTGGATCAAAATCGTATGTTAACTTTCATTTATCTCTGTACTTGAGATTTATGTTTTTCGGTTACTGCTTGCGCGTTAATTCGTTCCAGTAACTTATTGTAATACCTTTCCCAAAAGAACTCTAATTGGTACCCTCAAATCCCACATGTTTTCTTCATCTCCTGAATAACAATTTGTATTCTAATGACTCTAATTGTCATCTTGCATAACTCTCTCTCAAAAGAAAGTTGTCCACAGGGTTTAAAGCTCACACAGTTTAATGACCACATCAACTAATATCACGTCTATATAACAATTAACAAGTTCATCTTAGTGATCGAGATTATTTGAACTACAAAACAATAAATCTTATTTAGCGTTGTCTAATTAACCCGAATAATTTTCGAGCTTAACGATACTTTTTATTAGATCGACCCGAAATGTTAACCGAACCGAGCCGTTGCACTAGCCCACAGTCATGATGACCCAATTACACTCATGGACGGGAGACGGTAGAGGTGGAGAAGGGAAAAACACAAGTGTGGAGTGTACGTACTGTCTCCTTTCCTTCTCCTATTTCCGGAACACTCCAGGTACTAGTTTCTTTTTCGGGGGGTTCGTTGGACACATTCAATGCAAGACAGTTGGGGGTTCTTTTGGTGGGAGAAGGAAAAGATATCTCAATCGATCTTTCTATTCTCTCCCTTTCGTTGGTTCCCATAATGAAAAAACAAAGCCCTCAAACTTTGGTAGGGATTGCAATTTCGATCTTTGTCTTATACTTGTTTGATTTGTTCGTAGGTGGAGTAGGACGGACGGGGATGAGTATTTCACTTTGATTTGCACGTGTTGATGGTACGATTAGTAGTTTAAGGATAGTTTAGTGTTTTGTTGTGTTAGGTCGATTAGGGTTTCGAGTATGAGTATGTATAATGTAGTTTGTTTTTTTTATTTATCATTATGGATATCAAAGGGAAAACATATCAATATTATCGTTAGAAGTGTCCATATTTTCTCTAATCTCGTCAAGAAACCCTAACCCCTAATTATAAATCACATGGTTTTGTCAAATTCTTCTCTCAACAAATCTACATCTCTTTCTATATTCTATCGTATTATGTCAATCCTTGTGCCGAAAATCCGTGCCTGCAACAAATTGGTATCAGAGCTCCGGTGAACTCATTATAGGTTTTTTCTTTTATATACCATTATATATACTCGGACTCGCAAACCCTAATCGATCGAACTAACAAACAAATTATTAAACTGCCCTCAAACATTAATCGTACCCTCAACAATCTGACCCACCTTGACATGCTCAAGTTCGACCCGTTATGTCTAAATTATATATTATTTTACTTTTATTATATCAAATTTTAACTATAGTAAAGTTGTAATTATTTGATAACTTTCATTTCTAGAATAATTTAACTTCATTCATCACGCTAAGGTTTATTTCTTCATTTTTAATGAAAAAATTAAAATTTCAAGTGTTTTTCCTTTAAAATACATGCCCTTATGACTAGTCCACCGCTTCAACCCATGCCCAAACGTAAAATAGTTTAACCGGACACCACCTGCAATGCGACATACATAGGTGCCGAGATACCCACCCCGATTTACCCTATTCTCATCCCTTACATAACCCACACATACAAAGGGAGAGGAGAAAAAAAAAAGTGCATGGTTGCCAAGAAGCCCCGCAATGAACAACGAAGGTAATACATGCATAGAGTTGCAAACGTGTAATACGTGCATAGAGTTGCAAACGTTAAATGCTTATCGTTCTAGCTAGCCGGTGGAGCTCCCCATCCCGCCATATAACTTCCTCAATCTCCAACGCCCATTTCCCTCTTAATTTCATTCCTTTTGCCTCTTCCCTGTAACGCCCTTTTCAGCCGAAAGGAAATGCGAACAAACAAGTTGCCCGCTCGCTCCATATGATACCATCGAGCATGGGCATTGGCGGTTGGCTTCAATGTGATGGAGACTCTCCGTTTTCTTCTTTTCCTTTCCATGGGGTTTTCTCACTTTTACTTTGGTCGTTCTACTTATTTTGGCTCAAATTAGTGGGCATTTACCTTGTTGAGTGATACCTAATGGATTTAGATTTGAGAATTTCAGGTTGAAAACCATTGGCATCATCACAAAACCATGTCTTTGTTCGCACATTTCCTCACTCCAATAGGGAGGTAGTTCGGATCTATACACGAAATTCTCCTATCTATGACCGAGTATCATAACCGGTTTGATAGTGATGTCACGTTTTTGAATCCTCGTAACCTTCGATATTAATAGTTGATTCAAAATATATAGTATCGCGGGTCTGTACAAGGTTTCCCGACCGGCACTCACTCCTTCAGCTTAGCTAGCCCACCACTAGCCACGTGAATCACTCGCTAAACTTTGTATCATGGTTCGTGATAATATAAAATCAATGTCTGAGGGCACCCCTTTTTTCAATCAAGAAGTTGCCGTGTATGGATACATTGTGAATTGACCCCTTCAAGTTAAAAAAAAAAAACTGCTAATAATCTCGTCGGCATGACGGCGAAATGTTTGCCATTACGAGACAAAGGACAACTTTGCTTTTGGCACCGGAGAGGAGGATTTGGGGTGTGAAGCAAAACAGCAAAGAGTGCTGCCGTCAGGGAACTGTGCAAATTCGGCACCTCTTCTCCCCCTCCGCACATTACCCGCCAACGTCGCGCTTTTCCCCCCGCCGTCGAGAAATCGACAAATTTGTTATTTTCGTTCGAAAAGTCAAGTCAAACAGATATGACGACACTCTCACTCTCTAACTAGCTGGTGATCGGATCCACATAAAAGGTTTTTATTCCGCCACCGAGGTACGAATCAAGCTAGAGATTTAATGTGCCCCAGGAATTAAGACGGCTACGCTGTAAAGGTCTCTTCTCTGTAGGGCGGTTCTCCAAAGAAAGGGTAGTAGTATTCAAACTACACAGCAGCAATTAAAGGCTCACCGTCGTTGTAGTACCCTATATACCCATTGCATGGCATTCATTGGCAACTTGCGCAATGGGCCGCCACCTCCTCCTCCTAACCTTTTGATCACCTTCGTCATATCTTCACTACGTGGTCCTCGCCGGAGAGGAGACCGGGAAAGGGGCATACTGTCTGATCGAAACAAACAAACGAAACACAGTTTAATCATATCTAATCCGGCTCGATTCAACTCAAGGATCAACTCGGTTCAGCGAGAACCGACTGGTTGCCTACCCCGCAACCCATGATCATGAAAACCGCCCCACGCATTCGAATGTGGGGCTTGTGTTCAGTACGTCTCGGCGGAGCGTACACTAGCCTATATACACGGAGCTATGGAAGTGAATGTCTCCGAGAGAAAGAAGGGGAAAAAACAATTGTATTTACAGAGCTGATTGAGATAAAATGTTATATGTACCATGACCAACAGCATCGAGAGCAAGTGTAGTTTGCACTATCGAAGATCCAAGATCTCGAACTTCATCTTAGAGTTGAGGTAGACGTGGGAGCAATGCTCGTAGATGGGGTTTCCATCCAAGGGCTCCTCATGGGGATGGAAGCCCCTTTGCTGGCAGTTGCGGATCACAGATACTCCTCCTGGGTCTGATAGATGAAATATTCCGTGTGGGCTGTGCAACCATGGCGTTAGAAACCAAAGCAGTCAAAATCGGGATTTTATGTAAAATAAAAAATGGAGTTAAAATCGGAATCGTAAAATCGTAGTATTTTAAGCTCCATATAAAAATGAAGACGGAATAATATTTAGTAAGGAAAATCATAAATAACACAAAAGCACAAACCACTTACAATGATAATTTTTCAAGGTTAAGGTTCCAATTTATCAAGGTTAATGTTAAGAGGTGGTGAATTGATGATGATTAATACATTGATGTGAATTGATTATAGTCGATGGTGGTTAGTGTGAGAACTAGATGATGTTGGTGGAGAGAAGAAAAAGAGGCGTAATTTTGCAAATTCTCGGGGAAATAAGTAAACTTGACTCAGATTTGAATCGTAAAATCGTAAGATTTTAAGATCCATAGTTTTTATAAAGAAATCATAATCGTAATAGGCAAGTAAAATCGTAAAAGCGTAGGATTTTAGTATTTAAATCGGAATTTTGACTACTCTGATTGAAACAAATTAGGAATAGGACTAAATAAAGAGATCTTCGGGGATGTGTTGTGGAAAAGAAGAAAACAATGTTTCTACCTCGATTCGTCGGTTGGAGCCATGACTATGGCGATTGCTTCGGGTAACATTATCTGGAAAAAGAAACAGGTGACTGGAAATTTAGCAGATGCATTCATGGGGAGATAATCCCTGTGTCTACACGAGAAACAAACAAGAATTAGTGGGTGTTGGTTAACGGACATACCTGGTAAGAGTAATGTGTGTGCAGATCGACGGATGACATAAAACAGGTTTGCGTTGGATGTGTCTGAAATCAACGAAACACCAACATGGAAAACAATGAGCATAATTCTCAGGCTAATCCACGAAGTAAATATAGAGAAGTAATAAATAAGCGGAAAAGGAAATGATTGAATTGCAGAGATGGTAAACTCCACATACATGGATCCATCCAAGGGGAAACAACGAGAGTTTGTCTTGAACGTCAAATATTTCTTCTTCATTTAATGTCTGACACTGGCAAGGTAAACACAGAAACAAGGAATTAGCAGAAGCAGATCTACAAGTTATAGCTGTTATTGCATCAAAACAAACTCAAAAGATGGTGATGTGGAAAACTGATAGAGATTTGAGAGAGGAGATACTATACCGAATCTGAAGTTGACTCTTGCTTTGGGATGATAAGCATGCTGATGTGGAACACCCTGTTTTTCTACAGCACAGGAAGCAAGTATATAAGGAGCTGCGGAAACAAATATCCAGGGTGACTCATGCATTGCTTTTCCCTTACCAGCGCTCCTGCCAGAACACCACACGTCTCTAGATTCTTCTCTGTATTTGCCCGGGCCAATCTTAAGAAATCTTGCATCATATTCATAGGCTGCAGAATATAGTCAAAGGAATCATAAGAAATTGTGGTTTCCTAGGAAAAACATATAGTTCTCATTATACATATAAGCGAAGAGTAATGAAAACAAAGGGAGATAAAAGCATATTGGACGTACAACATGCACATCTTGGTACGAATTAGGGCCGGACATGCCATCCTGAGAAGGTGCTGGACCGGGTCGTGGGTCGGCAACTTTAGATGGTGCAATTTGAGCATATTCATGTTGCACTCGAGCAAGAACCGGAGGAGGGGACGGTTGCCTAATACCAACAAACTGAAAAGGATCTTCCTTTGCCTCGTGAACTAATGAGTTTCCTGGTTCCTCAGCAGGGTGTATCCATCTACCATCATCCAAGGAAAGAACGGAATCCATAACAGCACCAGAATCATTCTTCTTAACTGGCACACTGCCATATTCTCCAGCCTGATTTAAGCTGAGAAACCAAGGCATAGAGCAGACATTAGGACAAATTATACATACTGACAACAATACGGAGCAAGGAAAAGTAGGCCCAGTGACTGATAGATACAACAGCTATCTAGTTGAAATCATTACCCTGTATCCTCTGAAGAGGCTAAGTCAGCGTGGCTAGGATACTGCACCTGTGTAATACAACAAAACTAATTAGTTTGTGGAGGTCATAAATATACAAAGGTTGGGAAGAACAACCAATCCGGCAATAAGGTTACCTTTATTGCCGCAGTAGGTGGGCGCCATTCAGCACGAAGGCCGTTTGGTCCCAAGAGTGAGTGCCTAGACAAAGTTTCCTGATTGGGTACAGGACGACCAATAGATCTACATATAAAAATATGGGCTATTACCATGTGCAGGATTTTAGCATACATCCCCAGAAATGAACTTCATCTACAATAATTAGTATCTTAATTTATGACATAAAAAAGAACAATCATATGAATGAACATATAAATACTAATTTTGTAACCAGCATACAAGTTAATATGCCCTTATGGATGAACAAACATCATGAATATTGTAACAGAGATCAGAGGTTCATCTAAAATGATTTAGAAAGCAATTTTCAAGCCTTCAAAAACTTATACTAAGAAAAGATGAGTGTAACATAGCTGAACCGAAAAGCAAACTAGGATTTTAAGCACAGTTTCAGACCTCAGCAAATTGAGATTTCAAAAAGAGACATGATTGCTAACTGGTACAATATCATGAAACAATGAAAGCAGGAATGGGTAAAAATACTCACAAATTATGCAATTGATTTTCAAGTGGCGAGGGACTTGAGTAAAGGGCTTGAGCATCATTATTCTTCCATGAAGATTGAGGAACCATGCTGGTAGACTAAAATAACGACGTTAATAACATATACTGAAAAATGAGTACTAGTAACTAAGAAAAAAGCACAAAGAACTCAAGTAAGCGCCGTATACCTGTGCAACATTCCTTCCAGAGGATGGACTTCTATTCACTAAGGGCCACTGTGGTGAAGATGACTGAGAACCATAAGAATTTTCTTCCACGCCAACGAGTTCTCGTATTTGAACACTCGAGTAACCTCTATTCAGTTCCTCAACTCGACGATCGAATTCAGGTTTCAAGGATTCAAGTTCCTCCAACACAGAAAGCAACCTCTGTACAACAGGATCAAAAGCCATAAATCCCACTGTATTATCGACAAACCACGAGAAAATAACAATACAATATCCAAATCACAATTCACATGCTCACCTTCCTATAGCTAGCCTTCTCCTTCAGAAGGTAACTATGATAGTCTCGATGGAACGGAATAGTCTCAGAGACCAGACTGGTTAAATTCACAGAAAACAACGATCCATTTCAGAACTCAAAATCACACTACGAACGAAGAACAGTTTCAGCTACATCGATAACTAGCAATTCGGCGCCATCAACAAATGTTACCTCGAGAATCTGAGAAGCATGATGTACAAATCCACCACATTACGTTCATCTCGGTACACGGTCGCCTGGAAAAACGAGGACAATGAAAGCGCAAGTTCATCAATTAGAGAGCCCTAGAAACTCGAACTTCCAGCAAAATACAGCGCGCGAGACGAAACCTGTCGGAGGAGGTTATCGGCGATCCTGTAATAGTACCGGAGAGGAATCCTGCTGTCCACCTCGACTTTGCGAGCTATTTTATTGAGGTCGATCTTCATCCTTCCCCTTGCGACTGTTCGTCTATCTCTTATCCGGCAAAATCACTGAGGCTCCGGCGGATTTCAGGAGCCAGGTGGGAAGTGTGCTTTGTGCGATTACTGTGAGTTCGCGGCAGTAGGAGCCGGAGATCGGGAAGCACGGCGGAAGAAAGTAGGAAGCGGGGAGGAATCAATTTCGCGACGTAGCAGCTAAGGAAGAAGGAAAAGAAGAGGAAAGTCACATTTCAGAAGAGCCGGCTTCTGATTAAACGCGGCCGAGCTTACTTGTATACTAATACGTGGCGTCCAGCTATTTGCTATGGTTGTTTTGATGACAAGATAATCCTGTCCGTCCACGTTTTGGCGGAGCAGTCAACTGAATCTGAACGGCTGTCAAATACCCAGATCCGACGAAGCAAACACGGGCCTGTTTTGGAAGAGAACATTGGAATTTGGCGGTCTCTTTGAGAAAAATGCTACTGGCTAGTCCATCCAGTCAGGCCCATAAATTGATAGAACGGTCTGCTGGAATTAGGGGTGTACATGGGTCGGTTGGTTCGAGTTTAAGTATTTTAGTGATCCTACCCATGTACTACGGTTTGGGAATTATCAAATTCAAACCCATCCAAAAAAATTTAAACCCCACGGTTTGTTTCTAATTGGGTTGGGTCGGGTTGGCGATATTTTTAAGTAAAAACCCAACCCAATATAAAATATATAATTATTATACACCATAAATGTATTTTATAACTAATTAAAATTTTAAACAAATAAACCGAGGTGAAAGGTATCAAAATTCACAAATGTTGTTTGAGTTTTAATAAAATGTGATTTACTTCAACATATGTCTGGTTTTTCAAGATATTTGTTGAAATATACTTAAAAGGTTATAAACCAATGCATCCATAAAATATTAAAATTGTAGACAAGAAAAAGGATTACGTGAATCATAACTATATTCAATTTATGTCTAAACTTTAAGTCAAAGAATGCATTAGATTAGGGAGATCATGATAGAAAAACATGACGAAATATCTTAATTTTCACATAAGTATGGCTATATACGACATAAATATTTTTTAGATACGAACTCATACTAATAGTTGGAACACGGGTTGGGTCGGGATCTAAGGGTTGTGTAATCCAAAATCCAAACCCAACCCAAAAGAGGCGGGTTGCACAAAAGAAAACCCTCACCCAACCCAAAACCTTCGTTTTAGCGATAAATACGGGTGGGTTGGGTCGAGTTGGACGGGTGGGTCGGTTTGCTGGTGTGTTTGTTCACCCCTAGCTGGAATAACCTGGCCGATTTTGGACCGGCGTTATTAATACTGAATCGCTATTCACCATCGATGGTAACATGGTCGGGCCTAAATTGTATGGACATGGGCACGGGCACAGCACAATATATAAGTGGCCGTGTTGGGTCTAATATTTTTGAGATTTTATTGAGTATAAGAATGAACATGGCACAACAATAACATTTATTTGATAAAAAAATAAATATAGAAAGAATTATAGGTTAAAATAATACAAAATACAAGTAAAAAATAATTATTTGTTGTTGTTAGAAGTGTCATAAAGATATATACGTAATTACACCATAAGTAACAATGGACGAAGAATTAAACAAAGCCAAATCACACCCGCTATACTTCCAATTTTCTTTCCCCCCTTATTTATTACTTTTCTCAAACATTCTCGGTTAATACTATCTTTCTCCGTCCAATTTTTCACCTTCTTTTTCATTCTCTCTTTTATTTTCTTCCTTTTCATTAGACGCGAATACGAGCATGACACGAACCCGAATAGGCACGACACGATTCGAACCGTACTCGGGCTTGGGCCGGGCCTAGCTAAATTAACAAATAGGCTTTCATGGTACGACACGAAATAAATGGGTCTAAAGCGTGTTTGGGCCGGCAGCGCCCATGTACATACACAACACACTTCCCTTGTTCCCCAGTTTGCCGCCCTCTTAGAACGTTATTGGGTGGTTCGCCTCATCCACATTACAAAGATAATAACGGCTTTGCATATTGCCTAGGTAACAAGGGAAAAAATCCCAAAATACACATGTTTTTAAAAAAAATTCCAAAATACACATGTTTGGGCATCACCGCTGTTGTCAATCGCAGTGAATGCATTCACCGTGGTAGACCAAAGCGGTGAATGCATCACCGCGGTTGACGGCCGCGGTGAATGCCTGACGTAACACTGAAACTTCAAACAAACGCAACTTTGCGCTCGGTTATCCGATTGTAGCGAAATGTTTTTTTGATTCCACATAACTTTTCAAGATCTTTCAATCTGTAACAAGACTTCATCCCAAAAAAAATCATTTGCTACCCCGAACGAGCAATTTTTCGATTTTGACAAACTTTGGAAGATTATAACTTTGTGCTCCACAATCTGAATGTCATGAAACTTTTTTTGATTTTGCATAACTTTTAAAGTACTACAACTTTTATTATAACTATAATTTTGGAAAGTATGTGGATTTGTGAAAAGTAAAGGCAAAGTTATTCCCAAATCCCGTATACCCAAAAATACTTCTTTTTTAAAAAATTATTTCCTAGTAAAAGTTGTAGTTCTTAAAAAGTTATGTGTAATAAAAAAAACTTTACCACGTTCGAATTGAGGAGCTAAAAGTTATGTCCTTCCAAAGTTTGGCAAAAATCGAAAAATTGCCCGTTCGGGGTAAAAAACGACATTTTTTTTAGATGAAGCCTTATTGCAGATTGAAAGATCTTGAAAAGTTATATGGAATCAAATTTTTTTTCGCTACAATCGGATAATCGAGTGCAAAATTATGTTTGTTTGAAGTTTCAGTGTTAAGTTAGACATTCACCGCGACCGTTAACCGCGGTGATGCATTCACCGCTTTGGTCTGCCGCGGTGAATGTATTCACTGCGGTTGACAACAGCGGTGATGGCCAAACATGTGTATTTTGGAACAAAAAAATTATAACGTTTGTATTTTGAGATTTTTTTTTTTAAATATGTGTATTTTGGGAATTCATTCGGTAACAAGGGTCACTCACTACCCTTATGTACTCATTCTACTGCCGATCTGACATAAGATATTGGGCCATGTATGACTATTTTGGAGGGCTACGCCATGTCGTATTTTAATATAAGGGAGTGGTGTTTTACATCCATTTTCGATAAAAAAGAAGAAGATTTGGACGAGAGCTTTTCTCCTATATAATGCCTTTATGTGTAAATGGAGATCATAAAGATAATATTATTTGTTACGAAATGAACATTATATGTGTCACAATTAAAAATTATAACTCAAGTCTCTTTAACAAAATCATACAAGTGGAACACATTATCCATGCGCCGTTAAATGATATCTAGATGACATTTTCGTATTACCTTCCGTGTTGTTAAGAAGACATCACATATTAAAAATGACAAAAAAGAATAATCCCCCACTAAAACGATCTACATTTTTACGAAAACTAATACACATGTAAATTCCGTGACAAAATTTAGAACCAACTCTAAGCAACATTGCATTGATACTTGGTAATGCCAAACCAATACACAATCATTTGATCCAATCAATACAAAAACCATAATGTAATAACTTACCACACTCAATACCAAAACCAAAAAGATGACCCTCTTATGACTTATACTATAATCTCCCCCAAAAGCCTGAAAATCACACCAAACTTCGAAACTCTGCCCTCCCAAATCACCAACGGAGAAAACCTAGGCAGGCGACCAAGTAAACAATAGCATAATACACAACCCAACTTGCAGCCTTGAGAGCAGTAGATTCAGAAGCCTCAAGATGCTCAGACTCAGACACATCGAAATTGCCTGTCAATCATAAACAATCCCCAATCAATTCTCATAATTCACCATCTCGAATAAAAAAATCTACGAATCGCCATTTCTCGTGAGTTTGCCGAATACTTATATAACATTCAAAGTAGTCAGAATTGCGCTTTAAAGCTTGGGGGTCGTTTGGATGAGGAATTCTAATGGATCAATCTAACACAATTGTCTCATTTGAGACAATTGTGTAAGATTGATTCGTTTGGTATCAGAAATTTTGGATGTAGCAATTTGGCTGGGGAATTCTGAATTGACTCATTTCGAGTCAATTACAATTGTCTGGGCGGGGGCAGGTAATCTGAATTGACTCGTTTTAAATGACTTGTTTTTGTAAAATGAAACAATTGGTCAAATTGTCTCGTTTTACTCTTCTAGGTCACCAAAATGCTTCTACACACAATCTCCGTTTTTATAACTAATGTAGTTAAAAACTACGCTATAAAACTTAAAAACTTACGGTTTTACGCTTTTAGATCACCAAAACGCTTCTACAATAGAAACACGCTTTTGACTACACTGATAACATCGAGATTCTCGATCGTCGTAACAAAATTGTGTAGAGTCTAGAATGAGAATCGAAGGGGAAGAAAATGTAAAAATTGCAGATTACCTCGGTTAGGGCCGTCACTGCATACTGCAGAGACAGTGTCCTTAACATCCTTGATCGTGGCAGCATTGTAAAATCTGAAATTCTTCATGATCCCTTCTGACAGAATCGAAGAATTGAAGATTGCAGAGTTGCAGAAGAGAAGCAGTGAAGAAGAGAAGTCGAGCAGATGAAGAAGAAGAAGAAATCCAGATTGGGGAAGGATTCACTGGAATCATTGAAGAAGTAAAGAAGAACGACGACGTATTACTAGAAGAGAAGTGAACAAGAGAAGACGACAACGTTTTGTTTATTTCCACTTAATAGCCGTTAAGTTACTGTTTAGTTTTATCTTGGACGAATGATGTAAGGACAACTGGCTCTTTTTGTTTAATTGAATCCCAGCTATAAAAGCTGAAGGAAGACTCAGAGATACCTGAGCTTCTTCTCCAAATCTCATTACAAAATTGTTATGGTATCAGAGCTCAACGAGCTCTAGGGTTTTTCCGCCGCCCACAGCACAATGTCTGCAGCACAGACTCCACCAAACACGCCGCCGAACAATGGAACAGGTGGTAGTGCATCGACGACGACTACAGGTGCAACAGGGTTTCAGTTTGGGACCTTCAACCAGAACCAACTTCAACCTGAGACAGTGGTATTTGGTAACCCTTACTATCTCAACCCAAATGAGAATATGTCTCAATCCCTTGTTGCTGAGAGTTTCGATGGAACTAATTATGTGATGTGGAGTAGATCTATGCAAGTTGTTCTTAAGACTAAGAACAAACTGGGTTTTATTGATGGGTCAGTGCCCATTCCTCCTCGAGATGCAGATTTGTTTAACTTGTGGGATGCTTGCAACACTGTAGTTCTCTGTTGGCTACAGAACTCTATGATTAAGGAGATAAGAAGGTCTGTGTTGAATCACACAAATGCTAAGGCATTATGGGATGAGTTGAAGAGACGATATGGTCAACCTAATGCACTTAGAATCTTGAACTTGGAAGATGAAATACAGGCTTGTAAACAGGGAACTAGATCTATAGGTCAGTATTACACAGCCATCAAAGGGCTCTGGGATGAGTATGTTGAGTTTAGTCCTGTTGTTCCATGTGTTTGTGCACCTGGGAATCCCATACCCTGTGCTGCTGTGGCTACTTTTATCCAGAAGCAGGAGACTGACTACCTTGTAAGGTTCCTGAGAGGACTCAATCCAGAGTATGAAGTGATCAAGACTCAACTCCTGCTGCAGAAACCATTGCCTACAGTATCAACAGCAGTGGATGATTTGCTGCAACATGAGCAGAAGTTGAAGGCAGATAACTCTGCAGGAAACAAGAAAGGCCAAAGTCTGGCTTTGGCAGTTGGTGGAAGCCCTGGTAACAATTCCAGGGATAACAGTTCAAGGGACAACAATGAAGGAAGAGGAAGGAAGTTTTGTCGATTTTGCAAAATGAACAACCACAATATTGAAGACTGCTGGAAGCTGAAAAGAAAGCAGGAAATGCAAAGAGATGGCAGTGGTAATGGGGGGTCATCCTCTAGTTCTGGTTCAAGCTCCAGCACTCCAAGGTTTGCTGGTTCTATCTCTCAGAACAGTGGAAGTGACAGTGTGTCTGAGGGAAGTGTCATGAATGAGAGCAAATCATCCACAACACTTGGTTTTACTCCAGAAGAGATGAACAGACTCAGGATTTTATTGCAATCTGGTGCTGGCACTCAACCTTCACCACCCACCTCACCATCCATTAACCACCAAGCATATTCAGCCACTCTTTACCCTACCACCTTCCCTTCATTCTCAGGTAAACATGTCCTATCTTCCTCTCAGAACTGTAAAACACAAAACCTAGCCTTATGGATTGTAGATACAGGAGCCTCAGATCACATAGCCTGTCATCTATCCCTTTTCTCCAGTTATAGACCTGTCCAAGATACTTTTGTTTATCTCCCAAATAGCACAAAAGTTAATGTCACATGTATAGGGACAGTTACACTAGATTGTGGATTAAAACTACATGATGTTCTCCTAGTGCCACAATTCTCTTTTAACCTTATCTCTGTTAGCAAACTTACCCTTGATAACCCATATTCCTTACATTTTCATTCTGATAAATGTGAAATCCAGGACCTCTTAAACCAGAAGAGGATTGGTTTAGCCCACACAACTAGAGGACTCTACCATCTTGCCCTATCTTCAAGACAACCAAAGCCTTCCTCACCACTTCTTCAACACCAAGCAGCCACCATCTTCAACTTCATTCCACAAGACCTCAACCTGTGGCACTGGAGACTAGGACACCCTAGCCATGATAGGGAGTCTTTACTTAGTCATGTAATTCCCTCTATAGCTAGAACCAAGACCACTCACTGTGAAGTGTGTCATTTGTCCAAACAAAGAAAATTACCTTTCCCTGTTAGCACCAGCATTGCACCTGAGGCTTTTCATTTGATACACATGGATATTTGGGGACCATTGTCCACAGTTTCTTATGATGGATTTTCATACTTTTTAACTGTTGTGGATGATTTTACTAGATGTGTGTGGGTGTACTTGATGAAACACAAAAGTGAGGTAAGGGGGTTAATCCAAGGTTTTTGCAAGTTGGTTGAGAACCAGTTTCACAAATCTGTTAAGGTTATTAGAACAGATCAAGGTAAAGAATTTGAAATGTGTGAATTCTTTAGTTCAGCAGGCATAGAACACCAGGTCTCCTGTGTAGAGACCCCTGAACAGAATGGGAGAGTGGAGAGGAAACATCAGCACATTCTTAATGTGGCTAGATGTTTGAAGTTTCAGTCAGGGCTGCCTTTGGTTTATTGGAGTGACTTTATACTACATTCTGTTTACTTGATCAACAGAATGCCTACCCCCATTCTAAACAACAGAACCCCCTATGAACTGTTACACAAGAAAGCTCCATTTTTAGGCCATTTGAAGGTATTTGGATGTCTCTGTTATGCCAATACCTTGGTCCATGGTAGAACAAAATTTGCTCCTAGAGCAAAGCAGTGTGTGTTTATAGGGATCCCCTCTGGTCTCAAAGGATACAAAGTCCTTGACATCCACACCAAGCAAGTCTTTTTCTCCAGAAATGTTTCATTCTATGAAACTATACTTCCTTTCAAATCTTCTGACACAACCTCCTCTCCTCCCAGTCCATCTACTCCTAATACTTCTGATACAGTTCCAGCTCCATCTCTGCATATTCCCTTTTCTATTAATCCTGCTCAACCTGCTCCACAGTCTCAATCATCCATGGATGAAGGGGGGGATCCTGAGCAGGAGTTCTCATCTGGTCCAAGGACAACACCAAGAAGTGACCACTACACTTATTTTGACTCAGATGAGCAAGAGCTATATCCTCAAGCTGATCCAGACCTTAATGAACCCAGCACAGAGGATAATAGAAGGCCCTCAAGACACATAAAACTGCCAACCAGGTACAATGATTATGAATTGGACTCCTCTCTCAAGTTTGGAGCATTTGGTGGGGTAAATGCTAGCACCAAGTACCCTATCTGTCTGAATGTTAATTCTTTAAGCAAAGAAGACAGATGTTTTGCACTGAGTGTTATCAATCTTGTGGAGCCAAAATCTTATTATGAGGCAGTGAAATCAGATGTGTGGAACAGGGCTATGAAAGATGAAATGCATGCCTTGGAAGAGAACCAGACATGGGACATAGTTCCATTGCCACCAGGAGTGAAGGAAATAGGGAATAAGTGGGTTTATAAGATAAAACTACATCAGGATGGATCACTGGAAAGGAGTAAAGCTAGACTAGTAGCTAAGGGCTACACACAGGTGTATGGAATAGATTTCCTAGACACCTACTCACCTGTAGCTAAGATTAATACAGTGAAAACATTCTTAGCAGTTGCAAGTGTGAAGCAGTGGGTCCTAGAGCAATTGGATGTATCCAATGCTTTTCTACATGGAGATTTAGAGGAAGTTGTTTACATGAAGTTACCCCTGGGATTGGAAGTACCATCTGGAAGCAATCAGAAGATGACTTGTAGACTGAAAAAGTCACTCTATGGCCTCAAGCAGGCATCAAGGCAATGGTTTGCAAAATTGACAGGTTTCCTTTTGAAGTTTGGTTTTTCACAATCTGCTTCTGACTATTCTCTTTTTACCAAGTGGACACATGGGAAGATTACAGTTTTGTTGGTGTATGTTGATGATATCATATTGGGAGGTGATTCAAGGAAGGACATTGAGCAAGTGAAGGCAGCATTAAGTAAGGAATTTAAGATAAAACTTCTTGGACCTTTGAAATACTTTCTGGGGTTGGAAGTGAACAGAAATGAGAATGGACTGGATGTGTGTCAAAGAAAGTACTGCATTGACTTGTTAAAGGATACAGGGTACCTGGAATCTAAAGGATGTAAAACTCCAATTGATACCAAAGTAAAGTTGTCATCTCAGGGCACTTTATTAGAAGATGCAGAAAGTTACAGAAGACTGGTGGGAAGACTGCATTATCTAACTATCACTAGACCTGACATAGCCTTTGCTGTTCAGCAGTTATGTCAGTACCAGAAGTCTCCTTGCTCAGAGCACATGCAAGCTGCTTACAGGGTCCTCAGGTACTTGAAATCATCTCCTGATCAGGGTATTCATTTTAGCAATCAGGCTGAGTTAAAGTTGACAGGATACAGTGACTCAGATTGGGCAAGTTGCCCAGACACCAGAAGATCCATCACTGGATATTGCACCATGCTTGGTTCCTCCCTGATAACCTGGAAAACAAAGAAGCAAACAACTGTCTCAAGATCTTCATCTGAGGCAGAGTATAGAGCACTGGCTCACCTTGTCTGTGAAGTGGAATGGCTGAAGAGGTTGCTGACAGAGCTAACAGTGGAGGTCCCATTGCCTATAACAGTATACTGTGACAACAGATCTGCTATTCACATAGCAGAAAACCCTGTTTTCCATGAAAGAACAAAGCACATTGAAATTGACATTCATGTGACTAGGGAAAGGATCAAGACAGGTTTAATCACTTTGAAGTACATCAACACAGCAGAGCAACTAGCTGATTTATTCACCAAAGGATTGGATCGATTCAGGCTAAGAGACTTACTTGTCAAGTTGGGGATCAAGTTGATACCACCAACTTGAGGGGGGCTGACAGAATCGAAGAATTGAAGATTGCAGAGTTGCAGAAGAGAAGCAGTGAAGAAGAGAAGTCGAGCAGATGAAGAAGAAGAAGAAATCCAGATTGGGGAAGGATTCACTGGAATCATTGAAGAAGTAAAGAAGAACGACGACGTATTACTAGAAGAGAAGTGAACAAGAGAAGACGACAACGTTTTGTTTATTTCCACTTAATAGCCGTTAAGTTACTGTTTAGTTTTATCTTGGACGAATGATGTAAGGACAACTGGCTCTTTTTGTTTAATTGAATCCCAGCTATAAAAGCTGAAGGAAGACTCAGAGATACCTGAGCTTCTTCTCCAAATCTCATTACAAAATTGTTACCTTCAAGGCAATTCAGCACCATGTTTGTCTCCGTCAAGCAAGAACCGCCGCAGTAGGCGTCAACTTGTTCCGGAGGAACTCCCAGGCTCCCGCTCTCGTTCAATCTGAAGTCTTCATCGCAGCTCCTGTAAATCTTTCAGCAACAAACAAGAAGAAAAGAAAAAACACGTTAGGAGATTCAATAAGTGAGACCAAATGGGTTCTGTTTGTCGTTGTTTTCTGGTTTCTGACACTTACTCCTCTGTTATTGAAACAGAGCATAGCTTTAGCGATGATTTGGGCTGGATCGTTGCCATTACTACTACTGTTGCTGATGCTCGAAGAAGAAGAAGAAGAAGAAGAAGAAGAGAAAGTTGTGCTTCCTGAAACTCCTTTGCTTCCCACGTCTAGATAAGGCGCTTCATCATCCGCCTTCCCTGCCAAGTATCATCACTCAAAAAGGTGACTTCCCGTTTTAATTATGGAACATATATAATTTACTAATACGCAATTGCAAGCGAAATTCAGATTCATATGCGCTTGAAGTTTGCACAAGTATGAATATTTTGTGCTTGACAAAAGTCGATGTGGGTCATCGGGATTCAAACAAAAGATCGATCTCTCCATCACAGAAGGCTTTGATATATCTCATAAACCAAATGATACCAATAAGGACTCATACCAAAAGTGTGCACGATACCATTTAAGTAGAAAGAAGACTCTGATACTATGTCGTAAACCAAAAGATCCCAATAAGTACTTATAAGTGCATACGATACCATTTAAGCATAGGGAAAATGGAGGCTAAAAGCTGTGTCTCATACCTAGTTGAAAGGGGGAAATCAATATCGATACAAGGAGGAAAGCTGTGACTCCAAAGCTGAATGTTGATGAAGCTGCCATGGCTGAAAATTTGTGGTGCTAAGGGGAGAAGCTGTTGGCGATCGATAGAACAGTTTGTGGTATGGTAATGGAGTAGAGGGGATGAAATCTTGAGGTTGGTATATATAAGAAAAACAAGCACCACCAACCACAGTATTTTATTCATTAGTGGGTTTAATTTCGTTAGCATGGAGGCATATAGAAATGATTTCTTGGGCAGATTGATATGACTGACAACCGAATCGGGTAAACAGATTAGGGAAAAACTTGGAGGTGGCCAATGAGAAGTGTTAGCAGGTGATTCTTGGGGAGGTTTTGGTTGGGAGAGAAAAGGATTGGTAGTGGAGGAATTGGTGACGCTTTGGGGATGGGAAACTGAAGAGAGACTAAGGAGGAGAGAGAGCAGTTGGAGTGCAAGTAACCAACTATGAATCGGTCAAGAAACAACGAAACTTTCGTTTTCAATTTGGGTTCTGTGAGATTTATACGTCGTAAAAGTGTTAAGTCATTACGAAAGTTTTATCTAATGAAAGTTAATCTCGTGTTACGTAAAATATTAAGCTATTGCAAAAGTCTTACGTAACGCTGATTTAATTGTTACATAATAAATAATACTATCATTTCGTAATCTTTTACGTGATGGATGTGTATTTTACGTAACAATTGTAAAGTGTCTAGGTAATTGATGATCCTTTTACGTAATGAATTTTAAGTATTAACCGCGTGTTACGTAAAGTGCTAAGTCAATACGAAAGTCTTACATAACGTTTATCGTTAAACTGTTACTATAACTATCATTTTTTAACCTTTACGTAATGGATGCGTATTTTATGTAACTGTTGTGAAGTGTCATTACGGAAACCTTACTTAATAGATAGTTCTTTTACCAAATGAAAATTAACCTTGTGTTACGTAAGAAACAATATTCGTTCCATATTTTACGTAATGGATGTGTAGTTTATGTAACAGTTATAAATTGTTGATAAGTAAGTAGTGATGACTGGCAGAGCCAGTTACCATTGGATTCTTAATCATTGTCTAAATTGATATATGTTTTAACGGACTAGATTCATACAAATTATCTAACTTGAAATTATAACCAAGTTACTGTAAGAGACCCTAGGGGCGGACCTACTTGATGGGAAGGGATGTCGTCCGACACCCATTCACTCGAAAATTTTGCGAAAAACCTATATTTTTTGTAAAAAAAATTTCATACGAGTTTTCCGACACCGCTTTAATAATTATAAGCGATACACATTCATTAAATGACACCTCTGTTCAACAATCCTGAGTCCTGCCAGTGAGAGACCCTAAAACTTATAAGTGCAAAAATACAGTAAAATGCTACTAACCCACACATGATATCATTCACCCTTTGAAGAAAGAGCGTCAATCATAATTCGTAAGAGAAATTAAGTTCCAATTTCAAATGCAGACCAGATATATATTCGAAAAAACAAGATACATTCCCAAAAATGATATCATTAACCAAAAATACAGACCGTTTGTAGGTATTATTTCAGTCAGGAATTAGAACAAACGTTTATAATAATAAAAATTTAGAACAAACACAAGAAATTCATCGGCTTGAGAACCGAAAGAAATGATGCTGCTGCCGTTGCTGTTGTTTTTAACACACCTGCATCCGTGCAAGACCTCTCACATCCAGAGCTCAATTGGTCCAGTGATTTCACCACTAGACTACGTTACTTTGGCTTCGCGCTGCGTTTGCTAGGAGCAAATTGCTCACCTTTTTTGTACGTCACTGCCAAAAGCCGGTTCCATTGTAGGCTTGCCCTTCCCACGAGTCTGAAACAGAGAAACAAAAAAAGATCATAAGAATGGAGGCTTTGCACACAGAAGTAGAAACCAAAAAAAACAAAAAAAAAAAATCCAAAGCTAGGGCCGTTACCGTAATGCATCGTAGATTCATACATATCACATGTCCCCATATCGGTGGAAGGGATGTGTTTCACTTTCTCCCATTCTTCTCCGCTCCACCCATCGTCAGGGTTCCCGTACGCAAAATTCAGAGCACCGCCACATATCTGCAGGCTCCAAACTGTCTTCTTCTGCACTAGCTGGTCCGGCAGCTTTGCCAACCTCTTGCAGTAATCGAACGACAGCGCGGCGATGCAGGGCATGACCCGATGATCGTGGTTCGAATCCCATTCCTCCCATTCGTTCCATTCCCTGAACCTGTCCATCGTCAGATGTGTCAGCTTTGGGAATGCGAACGTGGTTGATGATGACGAGGAGGACGAGGAGGAGCTCGTCGCGATCCCCAAGAACTCGGGTCCGACTTTCCTCACACTAGGGAAGCCGACTAGCTCGAGCCGCTCGAGGGATGGCAAATTTCCCAGAGGAGGCAGAGTGACGCAGTTGTTGCAATCAACTAGTTTGACCTCAGCAAGGTTGGTTAGCAAGGAAATCCAATTGAGGGTGCCCTGATATGGCTTCAGATTTAGCACCTTCAGCTTACTTGCAGCCTGTACATCAAGATCAAGAAAGAAAGAAAAGAAAAGATCAGTTTATGGGTTCACACAATTAATGGAAAAAACAATGCTTAATTAACCTTCCAGCCTGTCCAATTGTCTTCTACATGGCAATTCTCCAGGTCAAGAATCACCACTTCCTTGGTGTTGAAGTTTGTGGGGATTGGGCCATCATAGTGTAGTTGAAGCCACCGTACATTGGGAAGAATCTCGCCCAAGTCACCACTTAGCCCTCCATTCCTCACTGCAAGATATCTCAATCTGGATAGTTTCTTGAGTTCTTTCCTTGTGAATGTAGCATCCTCTGCCATCTCAACCCTGAGCATCTCCACGCGATCCGTTCCCTGCGAGATGGAAGTCAAGATATATGCTGAGAATTCGAAACTAAGTTCGTAAAAACTGAACGAATTCTATATGCAAATCCGTACCTCTCTACTGTGGATAATGTCGACGGCATCCTCTTGGGACCATATCCTGCTTCTGTTGCCCCGACGATCGATATCTTCTTCCCTGACAATAGCCCTGCCAAGGTCTCTAATACGATCATGCATCCAAAAGCCCTTCTTCTCGTCGACTTTCAGCAACAATCTGTGGACGAGAGTGCTGATTCCACTTTCCGGATAGATGTTGCAACTACTCCACATATAGAAAGGTAACCTTTTTTTCTCTCCCAAGAAAAAACAAGCAATGTCAAGAAAGATTTTCTTCTCATTGCGGGTCAACTCGTCATAACTTATCTTCAATCGCTTCTGCACCTGCTCACTAGTTGGGGGTATTGCTTTCATTTCTGCCAACTTTTCTTCCCAAAACCTTTTATGTTCACGAAACAATAGAGATCCAAACACCTTAAGAGCCAAAGGGAGCCCAGCTGCGAGTTTCACAAATTGCTTCGACATGTCAACCTGATCTTCTGGAGGATGGTTCACCCCACCAAAGGCAAATTTGCTAAACAATTTCAGGGCGTTGTCATAACTCATTTCTCTAGGTTCGTACAATTTATATTCCTGAAGAAACTTTAAAACTCGTGTGTTTCTAGTGGTGATGATAAATCTACTCTTCGAAGAAAAATCACATAATTTCCCGAGGATTTGATCAAACTCGAACCTCTCATCTGCATCGTCAAGGATAATAAGAGTTTTGAGCCTGCAAACTCTATCTTTTATCACTGAGACCCCTTCACTAGTATTTCCAACCTTATGTTCTTGCCTTAGAATGCTCGAGATCATCTTGTTCTGCAATTCTACAGCACCGTTATATTTGGATAATATATCTCCGACGTTTTCTAAGAAGCAACAACGATCAAATCTTGAGCATACTTTATTATACACCGCTTTGGCTATAGTGGTTTTGCCAATACCGCTCATTCCATGAATGCCAACAATTTTCCTAGATATGAAGTCCACATCGAGTAACTTCATCACTTCTTCGACATGCGAATCTATTCCCACTAACTCATCCGTCACTAATGTGTAATTACTTCTCAAATGTAGCTCAACTTGATGAAGGACTTGGTCAACAATTGCTCCCTGCCTGCAAATTCGTGAATAAAAAATGGCAACAAAAATGGTTGTTTTAAGGGTTACCAACAACTTGATGAAGGGACATACTGGACATGATTACATACAAATAGACCATTGTCGTTTGCAAATGACTAATTTTGAGTTATTTTATGTAGTTTGGTGTTAAGGGTTACCAACTTAACAAGCCATCTGTCAAAATTTACAAAATCATCGTTAGCAATTTAGTGAACAAAAAAGGTTGTTTTAATTAAGCACCCCGGAAATTCAGAGTGCGTGTTTGGACTTTGGAGTACTCTAAGAATGTATATAATCTTAAATGGTTGGAGTGATGGTAATACCACCTCTTTTGGTAGGAATCTCATGACCAACAATTGCCCTTATCAAATAAGAA